GATGTAAGATTTCAGAAAGCAGAAACCATGACTGTTCATTTGAGGAGCTTACAGCCCCAGAGCTGGTGTGCTTGAGGGAACGTGAAATTATAACGTAACTCTTGCCCAAGAAGGTGCCCCAAGTGCAAATACACTAGCAGGAAGCCAAAGCTGGATCTGTGTTAAAAAAAAAAAAAAAACAACACAGATCAAGGCTTAGTCAGATTCTAAGGAACCCTTTTGGAGCCCATCTCTGAGTTGAGCCAACAGGCCACATATAGGGACACAATGACATCTGGTTTCCCATCACATACCCACACCTGCTAACCAACACACAGCTTGAGGGTCTAATTTTAGACTCAACAGCTTTGACAGCTTTTTCTCTTAAGGCGAGGGCGGGGGTTGTCCATATTTCATCTTCTGGGTATAGTGGCCAGCCATCATTGTCACATTCCCTGGCAAAGGAGGGTTAAGAAATAATGTCCTTTCCTCGATGTCCTCCCATGATCACCCACTCATTTAAAATGTCTGTCTAAAATGCCTTCCTTAAATCCATGTCAAGAGCTAAGACAACATCCTAGAGTCTGGACCACAGCTTTCATCACATTATCCCCTGCTCAGAAACCTTCATGCAGCTGCTGACTGCTGAAAGAACAAGACCCTTCCTCCATAACCTGGAATCCAAGGCGCTCTACAGTTTGACATAACTCCACCCTTTACCCATGTCCATATTTCTAGCTCACCACTTTGCTCAAGGTGGCATCCATGATACCTGGACTCACCCCTTGGCTTGGCAACTTCCTCTCACTATGCATAAGTTATTTAACCTCAGCTTTAAAACACTGCTGGAGAAGGATCTGGTTTTGACCCAGATATTGTAGGTGTCAATAAAATATTGGTCTGATTATATCAAAAATCTAAAAAGAGTGTTTGGGAGAGGACAAGAATGTAAAAAATCAAAGGGGAAAAAAAGTACAATTGGTCAAACCTTTTTATAAAACAATCTGATAATATGTATCAAAATATAACCTTTGACCCAGAAATCCAAATTTGCTCCATGTACCTTAAAAGGTTATTGAATAACTACAGGAACACATAATAGGGATTTCATCACAGCATTATCTGTAATAGCAAAAAAATATTCTAAATGCCAATTAGGAATGAACTAAGAAAATTATGTAAATGAACACTATTTCTAGGTAACGAAAACTGTTTTTTTCCCTGGAACTGTTTCATATATACTATATGAAACATATATATATGTATATTTCTTTTTGTTTTTTAACCAAATATGCCCACTGGCTTGCTTTATTTTTTTAAAGATTTTATTTATTTATTTGACAGAGAGAGACAGCAAGAGAGGGAACACAAGCAGAGGAAGTGGGAGGGGGAGGAGCAGGCTTCCCACCGAGCAGAGAGTCCGATGCGGGGCTCGAACCCAGGACCCTGGGATCATGACCTGAGCTGAAGGCAGGTGCTTAATGACTGAACCACCCAGGTGACCCTGATTAATATTTTTTATAAGACACATGTATTATATTTTCCAGACTCAAGGTACTGGAAAAATAACTTTTAAAAAAGACACAAAGGAAAAAGGTACTGAAGGATGTTTTCCTTGGATCGTCAGGGCCAATTATCACTTTACATTTCACTGGTAAAGGTCCAGTGCAGACTAGCCAATAGCCCGGATCTCTAAGAAAATCGAGGCTAAAACAAGGTGGAAGAAAGGCTTTTGTGTTTTCTGTATAAAATTCAGACAATTCTGTCCTTTTACTACTTCCATGTACAAAACAAACACACAAAGACTCCCCTATGCTCTGGCCACAGCTTTTATACTTAATCCCAAACACCCATGTTCTGTGTGAAGCTCCTGTCAAGGGAGAGGCTGAGGAAACACACCTAGTAGGTGGTTCCAGGCACACCCGCTCAGAGGCTAGTAAGCCGAGGCCTTCACACTCCTTCGGGTGAGCCTGGAGCATCTGAGAATTAGCACCGCAGGACGGAAATCATGGGGAGCAGTAACAATCCATACAAGTGATGGGTCTCCAGAATGAATTTTAAATTCGGGGGTTTTAGTTATTTGGGCTTGACAGTCTTACTATCTCCATTAAAATGACAGGTTAATAAAAGATTCAAATCAGAGAGAAAAACGAAAACCAGTACAGGATCTTCTAAAATCTGCGCTCACAGCAGTAATCACTTAATACCTGATGCTCCTTATATTTTGCCTTTGTTTTTAAGCCTATCTCAAAAGGAATTATCATTTCTCACCCATTACTTTGGCAAAAATTTTTTTTAAGTATGTTAATAGGAACTGCTGGCTTAGGGAAACGAACTCTTTTAAGGTGTACAACTCAACAGTACTGCTATACTTAGAGTTGGGCAACCATCAGTGGGAGTTCCAGAACATTTTCATCACACCAAAAAGAAACTCCACGCCCATTAGCAGTCGCTGCCCACTATGGCAACCACTAATGTTTCCCATTGCTATGGACTAGCAATTCTGCACATTTCAAGTAAGTTGACTCATAGGCTATGTGGCCTGTTGTAACTGGCTTCTTCCATACTGTTATCAAGCTTCCCCCACGTTATAAAACCTGTCCTTCATTCTTACGACTGAATAATATTCCATTGATAAGTATACCACAATTGGTTACATATTCATGAGTAGACATTTTCACACTCTGCCTATCAGGAACAATGGTATTATAAATATTCCCGTACAAGTTTCTGTGTTTTCACAAAACACGTATGTTTTCAACAGAGTAGAAAAAGCTGGGTCCAGGGTAACTCTATGCTTAACTTTCTGAGGCCCTGAAAACCTGGTCTGCACAGCAGCTGTACCATTCACACTGCCATCAGTGGTGCGAGAGCCTTCCAATGGCTCCCCACCATTCCCCACACTTGTTACTGTGTATCTTTTTGACTGCTCTCATCCCAGGCAGGTTTGAAGTGGTATCTCGTCATGATTTTGATTTGCACTTCTGGATGTAGAATGATGCTAAGCATCTTTTCACGTACTTACTGGCCATCTACACATCTTCTTTAGAGAAATATCTACTCAAATCTTTTGCTCATGTTTTAATTTGAAATTTTTTTTAAATTCAAGTATAATTAACATGCAGTGTTGTATTAGTTTCAGTGTACAATACGATTCAGTAAGTCTATACACTATTCAGGGCTCATCAAAATAAGGGTACACTCTCACAAATTATGGATATATATATATATATATATATATATAATCAGATACATGGTTTACAAGCATTCTCATTCTCTGCATTGTCCTCTGACCTTCTTGACAGTACCCCTGAAGCATAAGTTTTCAATTTTGATGAAAACAATTTCACCTATTTTTTCTTTGGTTGCTTGGGCTTTTGGTATCATATCTAAGAAATCACTACCTAATCCAAGTTCACAAAGATCTTCAGCTGTTTTCTCCTTAAAGTTTTATAGGTCTTAACTCTCATTTAGGTCTTTGATCCATCTTCAGTTAATTTTGTATTTGGAATGAGGTAGGGCTCGAACTTTATTCTTCTGTTTGTAGATATCCAGTTGTGACAGCACCGTTTGTTGAAAAGAATATTCTTTCTACGGGGTGCCTGAGTGGCTCAGTGGGTTAAAGCCTCTGCCTTCGGCTCAGGTCATGATCCCAGGGTCCTGGGATCGAGTCCCGCAAGGGGCTCTCTGATCAGCAGGTAGCCTGCTTCCTCCTCTCTCTCTGCCTGCCTCTCTGCCTACTTGTGATCTCTGTCAAATAAATAAATAAATAAATAAATAAAATCTTTAAAAAAAAAAAAAAAAGAAGAATATTCTTTCTTCATTGAATAGTCTTGGCATATAGCTTTTCAAAGTCTTCCATAAATGGAAGCTTGACAGTGGCAGTGTTTATACAACTATGTCAAAACTCATAAAACTGTACATTAAGAATAAATTTTGCTGCATATAAATAATATACTCAATAAACCTAATAATCAAAACTTCTCCTTTAAAGAAACATTCACGTATTGCCTATGTAAGGATCCTATGCTTCACAAACACTATACTACTGTTTCTAATACAGATAAACTGGAAACTGTCTGAATCTCTACCAAACATAAGCTGAAGAGGGTCGCCTGGATGGCTCAGTTGGTTAAGTATCTGCCTTCCACTCAGGTCACGATGCTGGGGTCCTGGGATCGAGTCTCGCATCAGGCTCCCTGCACAGCGGGGAAGTCAGCTTCTCCCTGTCCCTTCCCCAGTTTCTGCACTTGTGTGCGTACGTGCTTTCTCTCTCTCTCAAATAAATAAAATCTTTAAAAAAAAAAAAGCTAACCAGATGTAGTATAATCATAGGGTTGAATACCACGAACAGTATAAAGGAATAAGCTAGGTTTTATATGTTAAATGGATAAAGTTCTATTAAGCAAAAAAATATAAGTACCCAATGACTGACACAGAATGAAAGCATATTATGTAAAAAGACACAAAACCAAGCTATACAGACTCTGTGAATACACATGTAAGTACCTAACTGTAGCTCTTAAAAGTCTGGAAGAATCCTCAGCACACTGCTAACACTCACTGCCTCTCAAGAGAGCCAAAAGGCACCAAGACTGGACAGGGTGATCAGAACAGAGTTGAACTCTGTTATTTTTTTCCCCCAAAGGGAAATCTATTCATTAATTACTTTCAAGATTAAAAATTAATAATGTGGGGCGCCTGGGTGGCTCAGTTGGTTAAGAGTCCAGCTCTTGATTTCAGCTCAGCATCATGAGATTGAGCCCACATGCTGGACTAGCGCCTGCTTGAGATTCTTTCCCTCCTTTTCCTTTTGCCCCTCCCCCCACTTGCCCACATGCATGCGTGTGTGCATGATCTCTCTCTAAGATAAAAAGATTAATAATACGTACCTTATGTGAGTTGTAAACAGACGTTAAGTATGGAATCATAGCTTTTTAATATATGCAGTCATTCGTGCATCCCTGCATCCAACCTACACACACACACACACACACACACACACACACAGCTGATCTTACCAATTTGGATTTTCCATACTTTCCCGGAAGACAGACTCTTCCTTCATGGATGCATATTGTGTCCACGTAAGGCAGTGACTCCGTATAGCCATGTTCCTTTCCTGAGGATTGAGCCAGGATTCCTCTTCCAATTGGATACTAGGGACCTTTAAAATGCTCACCTGTCCAACAGAGAGTGGAAGGCTCTCTCAATTGAGGAAGAGCAAGCCACCTAAAGACTAAGTCCAGAGTTGCTTTCAGTCTTGGGTAATTAAGAGGACAAGTGATGCTCGTATGCAAACTGAGTCCTTGATAATCCAACACACCATAACCTTACTAAATGCTGGTGAGGACATGCAAATGGCCCAGGATTTATGCAGGCTGTACAGTCCATGGCCTCATTCCCCTAACTGCTAAACACTAAGCAAATTATCCACCTCCTTCGTGTCTCCTCTAGGGCTGGTTATGGCCTTCTTAAACTGATGGATTCTAATTGGGCCCACTGATGGGCTCGCATGAAGCAGGACAATATCAGATAAAGTATCTTCTTCATTTTAAACTGTCCAATACCTCGAAATGTATGACTTCCAAGGTGGAGGAGACATGGGAAACTACAAAGGCAGCATTGTACAAGTCAGAGGTGTCCTTAAATTATTTAAGAACTGAGATACCAGACAAAGTTGAATGCCTTTTTAATAATAGATTCAAAGCCTGTATATAGGGCAAAGGCAGGGTATACACCCTCTGGAAAAAGCCAATGATAATTTGCTGCATACAGTGCAACACATTTTCCCATGTGGAAAATAAAATAAAGTTCTTTTTCCTTGTCACATCAGCTTTCTTTCCTTCAAAGAATGTGACAGTCTTAATGCATGACCAGGAAGTGACAGAAGCCACCGTTTTTTCTACAAACAGCAAACAGCACAGCAGTGTAATCTGCAAGCTAATGGGCTTCTCCATCACAAACAGAATCACCTCCAGGTTGAAACAACCACCAGAGACATAGTATGAAATGCACTTCAAGATGCTCTCGTCTTATTTCCTAATGATTCTAAAAGGACTCTTGTCAATAATCCCACTATGATTTAAGTAATGTTATTAAAAATTCCCACTTACCTTTGCCAACCATCACCAGAGTGCTTAAGAATTTCAAAGAGAGAAAACAATTTGCTATCATGAAGATTTCATCATCACCGCCATTATAGAAACACACACAAAAAGACTCACAGAAAACACTGAGAACATTATACTCCCTGAAATAATTTATTCTCTGATAGTGAAATAGAAACTGAAGCTTTTATCTTCCTTGCTAAAGATGAGACTAAATATTTACCATCTGCCCATTTCTGATCATCCTTATCTAAAAGTCATATTTAACCATGGACAGATGAGAAAAGCTGGTCACTTCATGCAAAATGTGCAAGGTATCTTTACAATAATTAAAGGCCATCTCTGTGTCCACTAAGAGCCCTCCACCAAAGAGAAGCAGAAACAGACAGGGGAAAAAACTATCTCTGGTGGCATCTGCCAAAACTGAGGTGGATATGAGAGTGCTTTCTCCCTTTGAGGGCTATAAGGTACACCTGGGAAAATTCTCACACTCCTGTACATCAGAAAATGCTGTCTCTTTCCAGGACTATGTGAAAATCACCCAAATCTGATTAAATTTTAAAATGAATTTACCTTCCTTAAAATTTCTGGAACCACATTCTGACAGACTGCAATCCTCTTTCTATAGATGATCCCTGTTGACACATCTAGAAACAGAAAATTTTTACACTCAAAAAAATTTTTAAGGAAATGTATTCTTGTCCTTTGTCAATAAAACCTTTCATGTCGATGTCAATTTTCTATATGTAGAATTCCCAAAGAAAAATGTTTAACTCAAAATACGGTGTTCCTGACCACTTTTCTGGGCCAAATCATTCCAAATACACTTATCTGTGATCAAAGAATAAGGGTAAGAGAGCTAATTCACACTGCACATTCTGAAGTCAAGGATAAAGAATCACAAACCATTCACTGCTATGGACTATCAATGTCAACCCTCCAATGACAAGGGCCAATGAGCCTTTTGTTCAACTTCAACAAAGAGAATGTTTTAACAAAGAATGGAGAATCTGATTCTGCCACTTTCTACACCAACCATGTTTTCAAGAACAGGCTTCTGGCTACAAAATTTAAATCTGTAATTAATTATATGAGCCACACTCTTTACTCATAGGGAATCAGCTTCCCAGTGACTGGTACTACTCTGCTTTGGAACTTAGTTTCCAGAATAGCACCAATAAGATAAAAAACACAAAATAAATGTGAATTAAGAAAAAGGGAGACTGGTTCAGAGAAAAAAATAACCCTTGAGTGTTGTCTTTTGCCCTGTAAATTAATGTGACTCAGCCAAGCTCCTACAGGGTTTCTCAAAGCTCTGACTAGAGTAGCCTTGAACACTGGTACAAATACCCAGACTACCCAGAAGCCACTGCCAGAGTAAGAAGCGGGCTCATCTCCTTGCCCGCTGGCATTCCTTTAGCCATCCCATCCAAGGTTTGCGGCACACATACTTAAAACAGATTAGCCACTCCTGCAGGCAAAGACGCCCCCATCAATGGTTGAAATTATAATTAATGTTCTTATATCATTTTGCAATGTGCACACTGTTCTCTCATTTGATCTTCACAACAAACTAAAAGCAGGATTATTATTATTTTCCCATTTAATAAATGAAGAAACTGAGCCTTCAAGAAGTAAGGTTATGCAGGTAGTAATCAGGGCTTGAAGTCAGATTTCTCTGATGCCAAATAACATATCCCTTCCACACTGACTGCAGATACATGGGGAAAAAAAGGTTTTTTTAAGGATTTTTTAATTAGAATTAGATTTTTTAACTTAGAATTATGGACATGAAGAAAAGACCCTCAAAAGCAAAAGACAGTGTCGTGCTCACCAAGCACAGAGAAGACTTCAGACTCATGTAATGAACAGTGGCTTATTATATGTTCTCCCAGAAGGTCCAAGAGCAAGTCAAAAGTATACCTGGGTGTCTCCAAAGGCTTATATACTGATTCTGTGCATCACTAAAGCTTCCTGCATGGCCCGGTTCTCAAGTCCAAGCAAGGACAGTGAAAACGCTTCCAGTGAGATACGAATGACAGCAAGCAGTGAAAACTCCTACAGTCTCATTTGGGGGTGAGTAAACATCTCCTGTAGAGGGCCAGATGGTACATTTTTAGGTCCTGTGAGCCCGACAGTCTTATCACAACAGCTCAACTCTGCTGTTATTGCAAGGAAGAAGCCATAGACTATATATAAACAAGTGGGCATGGTTATATGCCAATAAAACTTTATCCACAACATCAAGCAGGACAAGCATAGTTCATCAGCCCCTGCTCTGGTCAATATGGAACCACGCTGTCAAGTACAGTTCTGATTCCATAGTCTAATCACTTTTATAGTCAATTTTACATACATGCTACTAATCACAACTGTTTTGCCATCTATAAAATGATACATGAATATATTATAGGGATACAGCCATGCGATCTTGGGCAATTTGTTTAACCTCTCCATACCTTGGTTTCTTCATATATTAAATGGGAGTAATAATAACACATACACCATACATTAGTCTGAAGATTAAATGAGTTAATATGAGTGAGCGTGCTTGGCATATATGAAGTGCTCAGAAATGTTAGCTATCACTACTGTCATCAGTTATTAACTGAGAGAGTGATAAGAGCATATTAAGCAAGCCTTCTGCTGCTGTAAGTGCTGGGTACTCTTTTCTAACACTTCAAATACAGAGATACACCTGTTTCAAAAGTAACAGGCTATACACACATACACAAACACCTCTAGAAAAATCAGTTTCACTTAATGATCACCACCAAAGTGAGGTACATTCCGAAAACTTACCTCTTTTTTCCTCCACGGTTTTTACAGAGATGACATTTTTATCCATGGGGTTGGGATACTAAATGAAAACACATAAAGAAGAAATACCAAAGTGAGTTCTTTCCCAGCAACCATAGTTCTCTGCAGGAACAGTACATACTTCTCAAGCAACCTCGAAGGCCCGTTTTCAGTCAAGACTCATCACTTCACTACTTGGAACTAGATAAGGAAGACGCTATCATCAACTGAACCAGTATAAACCCAAGAAAAACGTTCTTGAGATCCAACCTAGCTCTGGGCAGAGAAGGGAGGGAGAGCTTAACTAGGTTAATTACGGAACCAGAAATGGAGGGTGTCCTCTGTGCCATGCCGTGTGCCACATGCTCTATTTACTTATACCATCTTGTTTAAATCCCAAAAGAGCCTCTCCGCTGTGACCAGGTCACGTGTTATCATTGTCTCATCTGTCAGAGATGGAAACTGAATGAAGATCTGAGAGTCTAGGATCACCCAGCTAGTCAGTGGGAGAGCCGTGAAATTAAACCAGGCCTAATACAAAGTGAATCTTCCCCTCGAATCGTATGCCACTGCCTGGCAGCTGGGCTGCCATCACAGGAGAACAATTATAGAAGTCGTCTACTCCAGGTGCTCAATAAATCGTTTACCTATTAATTCCCCTGAAAGACAATTTGGATATAACAAGGCTGAAAAAAAAAAAAAAAAAGCTACCACTTTTGTCCTGGCCGTTTACATACATTATTTCAGTTTAATTCTCAAATTAATACCATGAGGTATATGCTGCTTTTTCCCTCTCACATGTGAAAAATAAGGCCCAGATAAACTAAGTAGTTTGCTCAAAACCACCCAGCTCAAGAGCTCCGAGACTAATTTACCCTCAGATATTCTCTACTGCCTTCTAAGCATGCCTACCTACCCTATCCTTAAATCTCCTCAGAATTACTCAAATACAATCCTTTCTATTGCTCCAATACAAAGAAAAAGACTTCCAGAGTGGAAGTGACTTCCTCCAAGCCATAGGACAAGGTGGTCCCTGATCCGAGCCTACTGATCACCCCTTGGGCCCTTTCTCTAGAAGCTCACACTGCTACATGATGTGACCAAACCTAAAAAGGAAATTACAGGCAGTCTCATCCAGGACATCACAAAGTGCTGAGGGGGAATGAAAGCAGTGAAGAGGCTGACAGGCAGGGGAAGTCTTCAGAACCACAGGAAGTGGTATATGTAACTCAGTGTGGGTCTCCTCATCTCACAGCAGCTACCTATACACGCACATGTGAGCATGTGTGTGTGAGAGAGAGAGAGAGGTTGGCTAACTGGTCTACACAGGAAAGGGTCAACTACTTTCACACATATTAAAGGTATCTGTGGCCTCAAAAGACACTGAATGAGAGCACAGGTTCTGTGAGAACCGGAATACGATCTAGTTCAGTCACTCCTCTATCCCTACCACGAGCACAGTGTCTGGCACATAGTAGGCACTCAATAAAGTTTTGCTGAATGAATAATCAGGAAGATGAACCTCGCTGACCTCAGGGGTCAATTTGGAAAATAAACCTCACTTTGCTTGGGGACCTATCTCTGAAGAGAATCCAGAGGGTCAGTCCCCAGCAGCCTTGACACTTCATTGTGCCCCATGCCATAAACTCTGCCATTCACACTTCCATCCTGGCAACTGCCATCTTGAGAACTTGTCACAAAGTGGATTCTTAAGTATTCATTCACTCATTCATTCATTCATTCATTTTTTTGCTCCAGGAATAAATGCTCAAAACTACGATGACTGCTTTTTTGAAGTTTAACCTTCAAGTAACGTCCACTAGGGAGGGTCAGGTTTAGCTACTCTGCTTCTCGGCAAGGGGCCTGACAGAGCACTCCTGAAGCAAGGAAAATATGCAGGTCTTACACAGATCCCCTGAATTACATGTGTGTTTGTGTGCATGAATAAAAACTTTCATACTAAGGTAAAATAAAATGAAAGGATTTCCTTCACAAGTCCTAGTTTGCTCATTTTGTATTCATCAATACTTCCTGAGTATTACAAATATACTAGAAGTTGTAGGAAGATTACTGAACTAAATTACGGAAGAGATGTGAAATATAATCATCAGAGGAGGACAATAATAAAAGCTTTAAAGTTCGGATTACTTCACTAAGTTATCAGTGAAATTCCTAAAGAATATAAACTCAGAAACTTCATACTTTTACATAATTTTAAGATTTCTTAGTAAGCCAAACAAAGGGCAATGACTGAAACAATAATGAAAACTCTCTATTCTTTCTTCAATTAGGAGGTTTTGAGTACCTACCACACCAGGCACGGTTCCAGGCACTGAGGATGTAGTAAAGAAACAAACAAAACTGTAGCCTCTTACAGAGTTTCCATGTTAGTTGGGAAAAACAAACAAAAAAATAAACATACCAGGAGAAAAATCCATCAGACTAAGGGACAATGGGGAAACGGGAAATTGTGGAGGGGTCACCCATTAGACAATGCTTATAAACAACAGGTGATCCTAAACAATTCACTTTAGTAAAATCATCTGCATGATTCAAGTCATTTTCTCACCCAACTACTTTGGGGAGTTGAACAGACACAGCCTCATGTTTCCACATGAGAACGGGAAAAGAAATGAGAGGTTTATTTACAACAGCTAAATACCATGATGTGAAAAGCATATATTCTAACTTTTTTAAAATTAAAGATTTATTGTGCTGAGGCTCCCCCTACCTGGCATTACTTGAAATGATCTAACGCCATCTTGTGGTAACTTGAATATTCATGATTTAATTCATGAACCTTCTGAAGTCAGATAATAAGAGGTTGAGAGAGGGAAGACTCTCAGAGAGGGTCATCTCCAGGAATGCCAATTTGAGAAGACAGAGGCGGTAGACAGTTTCTCTGGACACCTTTTTAAACATGGTGTGACAATGGAGTGGATCAAGCTAAGACCATCGAAGACTTGGTGAGCATCCGCTGATCTACTGCACTGGGTATCAGAGGCCATCTTAGGCATTATCTCATTTAGTAATTCCCCAAAGGAGTAAGCCCACTATTACTAAGACAAGGAGTTTGCACTAAAAGCAGAAATGGCGTAAAGCCTGCACACAAGCAGAGTCACAAAGATTTCCCAATCCCCACTCCTAACCAGCAACTCTCATAGAAGCAAAGTGGTCTAAACACCAGATATCTGCCAAAACTGCTTGCCACCCCAGGACCTGGCTCAGTGAGCCACAAACTGTAGCGGCATAACAATTACCACGTGGGGCCACGTACATTCGCCCTGTGTGCCATATATCCTGGGGGACCTCCAGTATTTTCCAAGGTATATATCACTTCATTTTGAACTTCCTTATGATCTTATTTCCTTTATAGAATGTATAAAAAGAAATCCTTTATCTTTCCCCAAGATATAAATCTACTGCAAATATCACAGTCTAACAAGGGTAAAATGTAGACTTCTCTACAATGTCATATACTTTGCTTTCATTTCCTTTTACACATTGAAAGGTTAAGAGGCCCTAAACTGCAAAACACTGGATAAAAAAGAAAATCTACATTAAGACAAACAAAGAACTATGAAATGTGAGAGGCCAAGAAATTGAGTCCATCTAATTACAGGAATAAGATACAATATATTTATGGGAGGAGCTTCCTGAAGATACAGTTATTCACCTTTCTTATTTACAAGGGGAAAATATACAAGCTTTCATAAAGCCTGTTCTTAAAATAAGGAGTTTTTAAAATGCCAACTTTCCAAAAAAGCTCAGAAGTTAATGCCTGCCTTTTATAATAACACCTCCCCAAAAAAAGAGTTAATGACCTCGGAAGGAACCATTGTTTCCCAACTTCCAAATGGCATCATTCAAGAAAGCACAAGGAAGCAACTAAGCTGACAGGTCTATATGATTAGTTGTACAAAGGTCAAGCGGACCTAAAATAAGTCTATATATTAACATTTCTGTTTCATAAGCACCACGAGAATCTTTGCTGCTTTCAGAAATGCATGTGCAAACGGGGTGGAGCTGCTGAAGAGAGACCTGGCCTTGAGCTAAACAAAGAAATCACCATGAACTGCGCCAATTTATTTTTTTTAAGATTTTATTCATTTGGGGCGCCTGGATGGCTCAATGGGTTAAAGCCTCTGCCTTCGGCTCAGGTCGTGATCCCAGGGCTCTGGGATGGAGCCCTGCATCGGGCTCTCTGCTCAGCTCTCTCTCTGCCTACTTGTGATCTCCGTCTGTCAAATAAAGGAATAAAATCTTTAAAAGAAAAGAAGATTTTATTCCTTTATTCGACAGAGAGAGAGATCATAAGTAGGCAGAGGCAGGCAGAGAGAGAGGGAGGAAGCAGCCTCCCTGCCGAGCAAAGAGCCCGATGCGGGACTGGATCCCAGGACCCTGTGACCATGACCTGAGCCGAAGGCAGAGGCTTGACCCACTGAGCCACCCAGGTGCCCCAGAACTGCACCAAATTAATGAGCTAAACGCAACGCTGTATCTTAGAGGAAAGCAAAGCTAATTTTATACCAAGATCAAATGAATCATTGATTAATCAAAATTTCAATGATCAAGGACAAAACATATTTAAGTCAATAAATTTTTGAATGGTTGTTTCCTGGCCTTTCAGATCAGCAGGAGAATGAAGTAGAAAGAACAAAGGACAAGGAGCCAAGACGTACAGACAGTGATGCTGCCATCTGTGAAGCCAGGGATACCCAAGGCCTGTCTGGCTGAGAAAAGTTATGGTTCTAAGCAAAGGCCGACGATGTCACATCACCATTATTCATTCAAAAATGTCCTGACAGGAACACCTCTGTGGCTCAGGAGGTTAAATGTCTGCCTTCAGCTCAGGTCATGATCCCAGGGTCCGAGGATTGACTCCTGCATCAGGCTCCTTGCTCCGCAGAGAGCCTGCTTCTCCCTCCCTCTCCTTCTGCCCCTCCCCTTTCTTGTGCACTTGCTCACTGTCTGTCTCTCTGACAAATAAATAAAATCTTAAAAAAAAAAAAAGTCCTAATAATTGGCAATGACATAATGAAGTTTTTGTTGTTGTTGTTT